AGAGTGTAATGTCAAAAGACAGGCAGCAAACTAAGACAAAGGCTTATTTTCCTTTATATGTAAAGATACATTGTGAATAAATAAACCATAGATAAAATCCCTGTGTACAGTAACAGGGAACTGGTTGGACAAACTTTAATGTGAAATGTCCACCCAATGGAATAACAGCAGCCCACTAGAGTAAGATGTCTGTGTATATGCTGATGTGGGGTCACCCCCGACTAAGTCAGAGAAGGGCGAAATGTAAAACACACACACAATGTGTGCTTGTGTTAGCATATATTATGTCCAGAAAGATAAGTAAGAAAACGAGAGCAGTAACAGGCCTCCGGATACACAAATGGCAAACTACAATGAGGCACGGGGAAATCTTTTCCTTTAGAAAGTTACTTTTCCAGTAACAGGCCTCAGGATACACAAATGGCAAACTAAGGTGAGGCACGGGGAAATCTTTTCCTTTAGAAAGTTACTTTTAGGGACCAGCAGTTAGCGTAATGGCTATGTCGCTGGACTCCCATGTAGATGACCATGGTTCGAGTCCTGGACCTGGTGGCTTAACTCAACGCCAGGCGCGTGTGTATGCGTGCCCAAGATCCCGAGAGAATGGAGGAGAGGGGATTGTGGCGTTGCCATCCCCTCTGAGGGGTGATTTGTCGCTTTCCTCTCTGTCACTTTCTGTCTTTCTGAGGAGCGCATGTGCCCTATAGCAAAAACCTATAAAGAAAAAAAATGTTACTTTTAGAAACTTATTATACATTTTTTTAGTATTTTGAATTATCTGGATTATTTTGGCTGTACTTGTTACTTTTTCAATAAAAATTTGTGAGAAATACCCAAGCCAACCTTGCTCCATACTGACCCACAGTGCAATTCTGTGCTATGGTGGCTTCCGTGCCACCCAACTCTCTGCGTGAATATTGAGCAAGGCACTGGGAGAAAAGGCTAGAACCGGCCCAGCGGCGGAGTCCCTTCTGTGTTCCAGGCACCAAGCTGGGCACATCTTGTTCTGATCATTAGGTTGGTTAATGTTCAATCCTCACAGCCAGCCTCTGAGGTAGGCTACCTCGCCCTTATTTAACAAATAAAGATGCTGCGTCCGAAATAACACAAGTCCAGGTCGCATCCCTCTTTCTGATTCTTGTCTTTCCAACGCCCTCTCTCAACCAACTGTGACATATCTGGAAACAGAAGATCCTCATCCCTCCTCGGTCCCAGACTCATACACTGGGCTGCTTTACTGTCTTGACACTGCAGTCTTGTAATAAGAGTTTCACTAGAAATGACACTGCTTGGCCCAGGTCTTACCAGCAGCTCCCTTTTCCCGAGTCTGTGCGTCGAGTTCCCACTCAGGGCTGAGCTTCGTGCTTCTCAGCTGTTAACTGTGCTCTCTAGCGCTCCCAGGGTTTTCCCCAGGGACAGGAAGACGGGCCTTGCCCTAGAGGAGTCCCGAAGTTTGGAGGGACTTTAGAGGCTCAGGAGACTTGCCTTGGGGAAGAGTTCCAGGGCTGGGGACCAACCGGGCCATCGCCCGGAGGGATCGAGCGCTTTCTAGGTTTCCCGTTTCCATACCCAGAGACACCGGAGGGACGGTGCAGACTTCTTCCAACACCCACAGCGCTGTGCCCGCGCGGTGCGTCGGCGGCGCGTCCCCACCAGGTCCTGCGAGCGCGCGGTGGGCG